TTAGACATCGAGTTCAGACTATCCAAGGATGATAATATATGAAAAGCAATTTCGATATATCACCTCCCATACAAACTGAAGTTTTCACACAACATATCTCTGGAAGTATTCATCGTAGAGTGCTGCAACTTAATACAGAGATATATAATATCAACGTCAAACTCATGAAAAAATCAACAGAATTTCTCACACTACATACACATTCTAATGTGAGAAATTCAGTTTTTATGGGAGGTGCCACGCCCCCTTTTCAACAACTCCCATTTTTTCCATGAGTTACAGCTGTTCTCGAGTTTTTTGAACAGAAAAAAAACGGCTTTCGAAATATATATTAGTGAAGATAACAAATTCATTTTTTAATTAAACGTGTCCTATGGAAAAATGTCTACGAATATTTTTTTAAATAATTGCCGACATTTGAAATTAATTTCAAGTATTGTCCAAAAAAGTGGAAGCATTCAAACGTAAAAATTTGTTTTCTTTTATCTTTCAACATAAATAATAAACTATAGCTTATTTTAAAAAATCGCCAGGGATAGATCGACGCGAAATTTAACTATCTCTTATTTAAAAAAGGAACTTGAAATCTGTTCATATTTGGGCTCTCAAAATTGATTTGTCCACATCAACCTTTGTTGCGCCACTGTGCGGCGCTATATGCAAAAGCAAATGCTTTCATCTCTCGTTTCGCTTTTGCTGTCTGCTTTCGCTGATTTATTTTTCTTAAGTCGCAGCTAAGCAGTAGCAAATGTATCGAAAATGAACAAGAGCTGCTTTAATAAACAAATAAGTGTTGCTTATGCAGTAGGGTTTGAAAACACTGCTTTTTGTTAGATAATGGGCTATACTTTTATAAAAAAAAAATATAAATATTAAATAAACAAAAGAAAAATATTGTGTCCCTAATTATTTTTCCACCATTGTAACTAGCTTATATATAGCATTTTTCCTCGGAGTTTTTAAGCCTGTATATATGTATATACGTACATAGCTTCAACGGTTAAAAAAAGTTGGTGAGTAGTTCCTTTTCCGATACCAAATATAAGGGTGGTATTATCACTTGCTAATGAATTAGACGAAGCGAATGGTTTGGCGAATGCAACTAAAATATGCATTAACAGTGTTTGCTTGTACCAGTTTGTGCAAGTTATTTGCATCGAGAACACTCTTAATGCCTTCTCTGCCTCTCTTAATTTGCTTCGCTAAACCGTTCGTTTTATGTGGAAGCTTTTCTCCAAAAAAAAGGTTCAAGTTCACTCTTCAATTTGTATATATAATTTCTTAATTCAACAATTTTATTGAGTTTGAATCTGAATATGATTTGTTATTGGCTGTCGCTGTGGTATAGTAGTTAGCAGCGCGCGCTACCATTACGCAAGGCCTGGGTTCAGGCCCGGTTCATACCAACATCAAAAAAAAATAAACAAATAGGTTTTTTTAATAACGATCGCCCCTCTGCAGGCAATGGCAAACCTCGGCGTAAAACTACAAGTGATGTTGGGTGACAACATCAAAGAGCACGCCACAAATCGAAAAAGAAGCTCGACCAAACAGTAAAGGGCCATTTACATACGACTTTCCTCGCTTTGCTTGACTGTTCGAGCTTTAACAACAAAGCCTGAAGCGTAGGGAAGGTATGCTACATTAAACGCTTTGACAGCTTCTACGTTCCTCTTTTCATTCATATTTTATAAGCTTAAAATAGATAACAATATAATAATATGCAATAATACTAGCAGTAATAGCTCATATTTACCTTATTTTTGTCTGTAAATGCAAATGCAAGCGCGAGACGAGATGCATACATGTAAACAGCTCAGTGCCAAAGCGCGCGAAAGTTGAGATTAGCTATGGTTTGGCTTTGTTTTGCTTTCCTCGCATTATATGTAGCAACACTCATATTAAATCACGTATTGAACTTATCTGTAAAAGCAGAATTCTGAAGCATCGCGAAACAAAAGTCGTATGTAAACGGCCCTTTACATATGTGTAAATATGCGCCTATTACTTATATATATTACATAGTTAATACTGCTTCACTGCGCCTTAAACGTATTTATTTTCTGTTTGATACCCGTATTGTAATATTTCATTTGATTTATCAATTTAATTGAATAACATTTTTCCACACAGGTGGCAACCCTCCTCAAAAATATCTTAGGCAGTAGACTTTCCTAAACCTCTTCAGTTTGATACCCATATTGCAATATTCAATATACCATATCAATTAAATTTCATAAATTAAAATTTTCAAACAGGTGGCAACCCTCAGCAAAAATATTTTCGGCTGTAAGCCTTCTTAAACCTCTTTCTTATGACAGCCATATTGCAATATTTACTTTGTCTTATCAATATACTTAGACCGAAATTTTCAAACAGGTAGCAACTCTCAATTTTTTTTCTCTTTATATTTAAAGTTAGACCTCTAGCAATTCATTGGTGAAAACTGCATTCAATTGCATGCATTAGTTTTCGAGTGATGCGCATACAAACACTCAGACAGACAAAAATTCTAAAAATTGGTGATTTGGCTTCTGTTGCTGTAATAAAAATCCCCCATATTAATTTTTCTTTAAAATTTACATTGGCCTGTTACAATTTTATTATATGTATATATTACACCAAAAATAGCAAAAACATAATTTCTTAATATATTTTACATTTCCAAAAAAAATAGACTTGCAGCACATGTTCCACGAGACATCCGAAAATGGGTGAAACAAATGTCATCTACATATGTAGATATAATTTAGTGGCTTTAAAACAGTGAACTATTTCGTCACATTTCTCCTTCGGGACTACGGTTTCCAGACGAACTGATTTTACTAGTACAGTACTGACTTTTCAACTCGTACTGATTTTGTTCATGGCTTATGGTGATTTCGTTTCTACAAAAAATGTTGCTTTCTCATCGCCCTCTGCTTAGTGTTTGTGCGTAGAGGGCAAAGGGAATGTTGCATTTTTCGGTAGGGACGAAAACGGCATTAATTTTCAATTGTTTATTTATTTATTTGCTCAGTCTACAGAAAAATATCTTACTGACTAATTACAGTTAATTGAATACAGTAAAAACATCAAGTTTAAATTCTACAATATTAACATTGAAATAGATAATATCATTATAAGCATTACATAATCGGGCACATCGTACAAGAGGTTCATTCACAGAAGAGATGGTTTTGTAAGTTGGATGACAAAATATACGACTATATACCCTAGCAACTTACGTCTATCTGTGTAATGGGGAGGACCATTAGGCCAATGCATTTTGTACAAGGCGAACTTTGTAAAGACTTTCTGCACCTTTTCAATTTTTATGGAATGGACCTCATAATAAGGGTTTCATACCAACGAGCAGTATTCGAGGCGACTTCTACTAACCCCCCTACTATGAATCCATACGATACACGATAAACGCTTGCATTCTGTTATGCCGTATTACGAATTAAATTCTAGCGTATAAAATTCGATAGCTACCGTTTATCGTATAGCGTTAAATTTTGGTATTGCCATACGATAGCTATCGTATCAGCTGTTCAATTCCATACGCTTGCAAGCAGTTGTCAATTTTTATACGATACGATACAATTTAACAAAAATTAAATAATGTAAGTATTAAAATGAATAAAATGAGTTTATGGAAACGATCTGGTCAAAATATTGAAATTTTTCAGGCCGAAAATTGCGATAAAAAACATCGAGTTGAGCGTATTGCTTCTCCGAGGGGTACGGTTTAGGTATTTGTACAATGATTTTAGATTGTTGTGCCCAAACGCGTGACCCGAATCTAAAAACTTTAATATACACATACACAAAGGATTTAACTTTTCATTTAAAACAAAGATTTCGAATTTCTGAGCACTAGTTTATTGATAAATACGGTTTGAAGTATGCACATTTTTCTAAACACAATAGAAACCGTAGGTTGGACTAATTCAAGTAACGCCTTATTGCCAACACTCTGTTGGTATGATCCCTGAGCAAGAAATCTCACAGTTATGAAAGTCTTTAATATATTTGGGAGGACGGCTTTTTTGCCGTGCGCGCAAGTCGATCTCCACTTCTGTTAGAACATACATACATATGTATGTATGTACATAACAGCTTCTTTCGAAAGTCGAAAGTTTCTCTGAAATCTAAAGAATTTTTTTCAATAATCTATACATAGTATAAAGTAGGGATGGGTGGCAAACATCTCGCGCGCAGCAGCGCGGGCAAGCAGGTGCTAGATGCGGGGTAAAAATTTAAAACCGAAAGGGTTAGCAATAGCCGTGTACGTGTATTAACCCATTTTATGCAATGTATATTGCCAAAGGCTATTATATTCACCTCTTTGTTTATAGAGGAACAATTTCTAACTATATTTGTAGTCTATTTATTAAAAATAATTCAACATCATGAAATGCCGACCAATTTAATTTTTTTATTAATAAATCAACAAAGTTTAAATTGATTATACATATGTAAAAAATAGTATGTACTAATTCATAATGGCGAACAATAACGTGTTAACGATCTTGCTTGCGCATGGGTTCGTAAATAAGAGAGCCGAGCGCTGCTACTAGGCTCAGTCGGTAGAAAACCGTCATATAAAAATGTTTTGCGCATGATTGTCCTTTTTTCCAAGCAAATTTCTAAAGAAAAATTATCTGCGCAAGAACAACCCCTCCCTTTGAAAATTTGCGACCAGCTGAACGCTGACAATGCAAAAGTGAATTACAAAACAGCTTATATGCACGCAAGCAAGTCGGTACTCACCACCAATGTTGCCATTTCTGTTTCTGCCGTCCCGCCAGATTAATAAACCAAAATCGCTAGAATCCTGCTAAATCATTTAAATTCTGTAAACTCATGAAAAAAGTTTCTTTTATAATTTAGCAGTTAAACTTTATTTGATAAAATTAGAGATCATATGTTTATAAAAAACCACCAGTTTTTTTTAACAAAAACAAAATTGGAACTTCGTTATATGGTTTTATAACCAGTGTTGGGATTTTGTGGCATTAAATAAAGTATAAAAATTGGTCATAAGAAAATCGTTTTCGTTTTCGTGACTGTTGAGCTTGTTGATTTAATCAAAATGTATTTACCAAAGTGTGATTGAATTTGACATTTCTCTCGTAAGAACGATCCTATAATGTCAAATTGGAAAAATTTTTTTGTTTGTGTTTTTTGACATTTTAGTACCTTAAAAGAGAGACACACTGAGTTGTCAATCACACATTGTTTAATACACCTTGGATGAGGGCCTAATTCTGCACCACGTCGAATTTCCGTCGTAGTTACGAAAAAAGAACAGTGGCAACCTTGGCATTCTAGTCTCCGAACTGTTATTCGAACATTACGAAAATTCAAGTTTGTATGTATTCCGCATCACTTCGTAACAGTTATTCGTAGGTATTTTTTCCCTAAAGAAAATCAACGTCGGAATCTATTTAAATTTTTCACATTTAAGTACTGTGAATTAAAATGTAAGTATAAAATTGTACAAATACTTTATGCGTTTGTATTTATATGAAATTTATGCATAATAGGGCGAGGACCACCAATCCAAGCCAATATGAATTGTTGGTAGAGCTACTCACGCCGCTAACGAGCTGAATGCTTTGGGACCACCATGCAGGGACTGGGCAGGGTGGCGAAAGGTTATATATACAATTGATGACAATTTGCTTTAAATATTTATTAACTTCGCGTATCTTTTGGTTTCAGACATGGCTTGATTGGAAGAGCTACGTTAAAAAGAAGCTTTCCCACAACAAAATGGAGTCTCGAGCTACTGGAGGGGGTAGTTTTAATAAAAGGCCCATAAGCTCCTTAGAAGATAAGGTGATTTCGCTGACCGGGCTAGAAACTTGCACCTCAGGCCTTCAAGCTGGGTTAAGCTTCGGTGGAAGGCAGGTAGTGGAAGCAAGTAGTACCAGTAGTCAAGCTGCCAATAGCCAAGCTCTTGCCACAAATACCAGGGAAGAAGTTATTGAAACAAATGCT